TTTTTATACATTCATGTGATTATATGTAAATATACTTATAAAAATATACATATGTGTGTACATATATATAAAAGTGTACACACACACACACACATACACTGAGTGGTCAGATTATTATGACCACTCCATCAGTACTTCATTGACACTTCCAAAAATACTGAATATTGAAAACTTCCTAAGCAAATACTCTCAAGGTTTTATTATTATTTGCGTAACTAATCCACTTCATTGTACTGATGGGGTGGTCATAATAATCTGGCCACTCAGTGTATATATACACACATATGCTCAGCCTGGCCAGTGTCACTCAGTGGTTGCGTGTTGACCCATGAACCAGAAGGTCACGGTTCAATTACTGGTCAGGGCACATGCCCGGGTTGTGGGCTCAATCCCCAGTAGGGGCGTGAAGGAGGCAGCTAATCAATGATTTTCTCTCATCATTGATGTTTCTATTTCTCTCCCTCTCCCTTCCTCTCTGAAATCAATAAAAATAGTATCTTTGGCAAATATGTTCTCCCACGCAGTGGGCTTCCTTTTCATTGAAGAAAAATATATGTGCTCCGTTTTTATTACATAAATGAGTTCGTACTGAGCAGCAGCTTACATTTCTTATTTAACAATGTGTTGGAGATAATTTCATGTTAGTTCCCTCAGTCACCTTATTTTGTTGTTGTTGTTGTTAATCCTCCTTGAGGATATTTTTTCATTACTTTTTAGAGAGAGTGGAGGGAGAGAGGGAAAGGGGAGAGAGAAAGAGAGAGAAGCATCAATGTGAAAGAGATACATCGATTGGTTGTATCCCCACGTGCCTCGACCAGGGCCAGGGATTGAACCTGTAACCCAGGTACGTGCTCTTGACCAGGAATTGAACCCGAGACCCTTTGGTGCTCAGGTTGATGCTCCAGCCACTGAAAACACCGGCTAGGGCCAGAGCCACCTTATTAATAGCCACATGATATTGCCCAGAAGGGGCATACCATCGTTTATTTAACCAGTCCTGTTTTGATGAACATTTAAGAAGGTTTTTCCAGGATTTTCTGAAACTATTTTAAATAGTGCTGCAGTGAATTCATACCTTTGTGCACATGTACAAGTAGTTTTCTAAGTTAGACTCTTGGAAGGAAACTGGTAAGTCAGAGGGTGTACATATTTAAAAGTTGAATAGCTATTTCATGTAATAAAATCTTTCCTTGTTAATTTCTGGGTTTTGTGTCTTGCTCTAAAAGACTTTTCCATAGTTCACATTATAAAAATATTAGATTATATTTTTTCAAGATTTTTATGTGTAGTTTGAAAAGTGTTTTCACATAAAGTAGTATGATATGGCTTTTGACTAGCTTTCTACTTTAGTTTTATTTTCGTTTAAAAATTTTAATTAGTAGGTAAAGAGGAGATAAATGGTGATAGAAGGAAACTTGGCTTGGGTGGTAAGCATAATACTAAATATACAGATGATGTGTTGTAGAATTGTATACCTGAAACCTGTGTAACTTTGTTAATGTCACCCCAATAAATTTAATAAAAAAATAAAGAAAAGGAAATTAATTAGAGCCTTTTGTATTTTTTAAGAAAATATCTCTTCACGTGTATCACATTTTTTCCCATAGTTTGTCTTTCTGCTTTATTTTAATGGATATTTTTTAATGTATAAAAGTTTTTTAATGTTAATTATCTTAACAAATAAGTATTGGCCCTTGCCAGGTAGCTCAGTTGGTTAGAGCATCGGCCAAATACGCCACGGTCGTGGGTTCAATCCCTGGTCAGGGCACATAGAAGAATCAGCCGATGATCCTGCCCAACATGGGTCAGTGGTTAAAGCATGGGCCTTCACACCAGAGGGTCTCTTGGGTTAGATTCTGATTAGGGGCGCATACCTGGGTTGCACGTTTGAGTCCTGCCTCCCCCCCCCCCCCCCCCTCCCCAATCTCCATTGGGGCACATGCAGGAGGCAACCAATCAATGTGTCTCTCTCATATCCATGTTTCTCTCTTTCTCTCTTCCCACCCTCACCCCCTCCCTTCCACTCTCCACTCTCTAAAAATCAATGAAAAAAATATCCTCACTTCTTAGGTGAGGATTTAAAAAAAAAGAATTAGCCAATGAATACATAAATAAGTTGAACAACAAATCGATGTTGCTCTCTCAAATCAGTAAGTTAAAAAAAAAACTTTCTTAAAAATTAAAGAACTAACAGTTCTTTAATGTTTAAAAACTCAAAGTCTCATTCCTATCCCTGGTCTTATTCAACTAATTCCACCCCTCACCTACAAGTAACCATTGTTACTAGATTCTTATAAATCTTACCAAAGTTTCTTTTTTTCAAATGTAAGCAAATGTGTTGTTTTTACCCCTTTTTACATAGAAGTATACAGAAGTTCTTAGTTTTGTTTTTGTTTTTTTTTTAAATATATTTTATTGATTTTCGACAGAGAGGAAGGGAGAGGGATAGAGAGTCAGAAACATCGATGATAGAGAAACATCTACCAGCTGCCTCCTGCACACTCCCCACTGGGGATGTGCCCGCAACCAAGATACATACCCTTGACCGGAATCGAACCTGGGACCCTTCAGTCTGCAGGCCAACGCTCTACCCACTAAGCCAAACCGGTCAGGGCAAGTTCTTAGTTTTTATTTGTTGGTCTTTTTCATTGTGGCTTCTGGGTTTTATGTCATGCTTAGAAATCATTTCTACTTTGAGATGGTTAAAATAGCCAAGATTTTTTCTGATGTGGCATTCTTTTTTTAACATTTAAATTTTGAATTCCATCTGGAAAATATTTTATTGTAGAGATTAAGTAATGAAATAGTATTTACTATGAGTCTTCCTGTATGGGCCATTGTTTCATTTCAGGTATCATTTTGCACTTATTTGAAATGCCAATTTTACTACATGTTCAATTCTCAGGTCTTTTCCTGGATTCTGTTCTCTTCCATTGATCTATTTGCTTATTCCTGTGCCAAAACAAGTTTTAATTAATTTTAGTTTTATATAGTACTAGAGGCCTGATGCACGAAATTCATGTGAGAGTAGGCCTTCATTCCCCTGGCTAGCTGCCGGCACCTGCTTCTCTCTGGCACCCGGAACCCAGGCTTCCTTTGAAGCCCCGGCTTCGTCCGGAAGGACATCTGGTCTCATTAGCATATTGTGCTTTTATTATTATAGAAGATACTTGATATCTAATATACATGTGTTCTCATATTTTCAAATGTTTCTAAATATCTTCCAATATTTACTTTTTCAGATTATCTTTTACCCCCAGACAAACTAGAATCAGTTTGCACTTCCCTTCCCCCCAAACATTGGGGGTGATTTTTATTGAAATTCTTGTGCATTTATAGATCATTTTAAAATATTTTCTGTCTTTTATATCCTTGAGTAAATTTTGATATGATTTTGTAAAAATGTTTTTTATGTTTATTTTGGGGTACCTTATAGTTTTGTTGCTGTTATGATCAGGGTCTTTTTAAAGTTACGTTTCTAATTGGTTCTTGCTATAGTATATAGACAGTTGATTGGTGTAGAAAATATATTGACTTCTGCCCGGTTGGTGTGGCTCAGCCGTTGAGTGTCGACCCAGGAACTAAGAAATCACCGGTTTGATTCCCAGTCAGGGCACACGCTTGGTTTCAGGCTTGATCCCCAGTAGGAGGTGTGCAGGAGGGGGCTGATTGATGACGTTCCTCTCTCATCGATGTTTCTATCTCTCTATCCCTCTCCCTTCCTCTCTCTCTTTAAAAAAATGTTTTTTCAATAAAAATATATTTTAAAAAAGAAAATACATTGACTTCTGTTGCTCACTCAACTGAGCTCTTTTATTCATTGTTCCATAGACTGGTTTGGATTTTCTAAGTAGACAATCACATTATTTGTAAATAGTAACAATCTCACTCCTTTTCCAAAATAGAAACTTCTCTGTCTTGTTTTGTTTTTTTTCTTAAATTATTTTGGCTAGAACCCCAAGAAGAATGTCAAATAGAAAGACGGTAATGGTGAGCATCTTTCTGGTCTTTAATGGGAAGGCTCCTGAAATGATACCAGCCAAAGCACTCTCCTTAGCCACCGATTTTCCTTGACGTCCTGGAATAGTGCCTACTCCTCTGTTCCCTTCTCCCCTCCTACTTTGTCTTCTCATGCCGCACGCACTGTCCTCACACTTCTCAGATTGCAGTCATCTTGTGCTGGCTTGTGATTTCAGTTTCCTATTGTAAGCCAACCATTCACAGATTGACATCTCTAACCCAGGACTCTCCCCAGCTCTGGACTCACTGAAGAGCTCCTCTTGGGTTTCTTTCAGGCACTGCTAACTCAGTACTTCTGAAACTGAGTTCTTTATTAACCAGAGCTGAGCTGGACCCCGGGTCTAAAGCCCATGACCTGACTCAGTGTTTCGAACCAGAAATAGCCCTGGTCAGTGTGGCTCAGTTGGTTGGGCGTCTTCCTGTGCACCAAGAGGTTGCCAGTTTGATTCCCTGTCAAGGGCACAAGCCCTGATTGTGGACTTATGGGCTCCTGGGCTCAATCCCCAGTAGGGGGGTCATACAGGAGGCAGCTGATTGATGTTGTGCTCCCATATTAATGTTTCTCTCCCTCCCTCCTTCCTTTCTCTCTCTTTAAAAATCAATAAACTAAAAATAAATAAATAAAATAAAAAATTCATAAACTATTCTTAAAAAAAAATCAGAAATAGAAGAAAGGCTCTCCATCCTGAGAGACCCTCTGGCAGGGTTTTATTTCCTACTAATACAGACTCAAGCTGGCCACCCACCCTAGTCCTATCTCAGTTTGTGTCCTGGATATTGGCCACACAGCCTTCTGTCCCAGGAGCTCCTGCCATCCTTGTGTACTTGCCCAAGAACCCCATCCTTGCCTGCTGCACCTAAGCATGCATATTGTTCCTAGTCATCACCTTCCCTCCCTGCCCCTGGAGGGGCCTCAAGTTGCCTGTGGAGAACAAATGGAGGTTTTAGGGGTTCCTCTGGGGCTCACTTCATCTAGATGCATGGGCACGAGGAGGCTAATTTCTGTTCACCTTTCTGTGGGCAGGAAATATGAGCTGTACAGCATGGACTGGGACCTGAAGGAGGAACTCAGGGACTGCCTGGTGGCCGCTGCGCCTTATGGAGGCCCCATTGGTAAGTCACCCCTCTGCCCCGGCATGCTCTGGGACCATGGGATGAACTCAAGGTCCTTGATTTCGTAGGGGTCTTATTGTTGGGTTGTTCTTGCTGGCATATGCCACCCTCCCCCCAAATTGAGATGCTTTTAATTCTGGTTCTCATGAGGCCTGTTTCATATGGTGGGCCTGAGGAGCAGGAGTGAGGCCTGCTTCACGTGGGCTGGGACTAGTGAACTAGGACAGGAGGTCTCTTCTCCAACTGCAGCACTGCTGAGGAACCCCTGGCGGAAGGAGAAGGCTGCAAGTGTACGGCCGGTACTTGACATCTACTCTGCTTCTGGCATGCCTCTGGCCAGTCTGCTGGTGAGCACCCTTGGCCTGCCTTGGGGGTGGGGGCCAGGCAGTGCTTCTGCGTCCCAAGATAGTCTCATGAACTTCTCCTCTACAGTGGAAGAGTGGGCCAGTGGTGTCCCTGGGCTGGTCAGCTGAAGAGGAGCTCCTCTGCGTGCAGGAAGATGGTGTAGTGCTGGTTTATGGGCTTCATGGAGACTTCCGGAGACACTTCAGTATGGGCAATGTAGGGGCCACAGGAAGCTGGGGAAAAGGGATGGAGTCTGTGACCCTATGATTTTTTCAAGGTCCCTCTCCACTTGTCCCTCTCCCCAGGAGGTGCTCCAGAATAGGGTTCTAGATGCTCGAATCTTCCATACTGAGTTTGGTTCCGGAGTGGCCATCCTCACAGGGGCCCACCGCTTCACCCTCAGTGCCAATGTGGGTGACCTCAAACTCCGCCGAATGCCAGAAGTGCCAGGTGAGTGCTGACACCCCCGAGACAATCATTCAGTGCCCACAGACGTGCTTCCAGACTGCGGGGTCCACAGAGCAGAAGCTTTGGGCTCTGGTCATCCTGGGATTGTCCTCTTGCCTGACCACAGGTTTGCAGAGCGCACCCTCCTGCTGGACCACACTGTGCCAGGACCGAGTGGCACACATTCTTCTGGCTGTGGGGCCCGATCTTTACCTCCTGGACCATGCAACCTGCTCCACCGTGGTGAGGGCCTGTGAAATGGGAGTGAATGGAAGGGTTGGGGGAGGCCTGGAGGAGGCGCTGAGAAGTTAGTATCTTTGGGTGTCCTCCCTGGCCCTGCCCCAGACACCCCCTGGCCTGGCCCCAGGAGTGAGCAGCTTCCTGCAGATGGCTGTTTCTTTCACCTACCGACACCTGGCACTCTTCACAGACACAGGCTATATCTGGATGGGGACAGCTTCACTCAAGGTTTGTCCTGGGAAAACACAGGGGCATTTTGCCTTGTCCAGGGATTTGGGTAGAGAAGGGGCTTTTTAACTTGAGCTCTTGGACAGAACCATGACATTCCCTGCATCCTTTCAGGAAAAACTCTGCGAGTTCAACTGCAACATCCGGGCCCCCCCGAAGCAGATGGTCTGGTGAGGATTGGAATCTTATGCTGCGGGTGAGGGTGGATATAGCATTGTTTCCTGGGACACTTTGATTCATCCTGTCTACTGGCCACGCCAAGTGGAGCTTGCATCATACCTTCTCTGCCAGTGCACACTGGAGGGGAACCCCTGCCCGCTGTGGGCCTCAGCTGGAGCTGACAGCACAGGGTCAAAGGGAAGCCCTCAAGTCAATCAGAGGATGGGATAAGGAGCAGGAAGCATGCACAGGACTATCCCAAGGCAAAGTGATATAAATAAGCAGTGATGTGAGAGACTTGGCTGAGGACCTGGCCTCCGGTGTATGTCTCAAACATGTATGTGTGGTGCTATCCACAGGTGCAGCCGTCCTCGTAGCAAGGAGAGGGCTGTTGTGGTGGCCTGGGAGAAGCGGCTAATGGTGGTGGGTGATGCACCTGAGAGCATCCAGTATCCTTGAAGGGCTACCTGTGGGGATGGGAGAGGAGAGGGGAAGGGAGGTCATCTGACCCGTCCCATCTTAGGAACCTTGACCAAGCTCAGGTTTGTGCTGGATGAGGACTCCTACCTGGTACCTGAGCTGGATGGGGTACGCATCTTCTCCCGCAGCACCCATGAGTTCCTACATGAGGTTCCAGGTGAGGCCCTCACAAAGGCACCACAGACCTGGGGCGGGGGCACCTTGGCACCACAGCTGCTGTGGGCAGTGCTCCAGAGTAGGATTAGAGCCTTGAGGGAGAGCTGAGGGTTCCCTGCCTGCCTCCTATACTCACCATCTCTCTTCCCCAGTGGCCAGCGAGGAGATCTTCAAAATTGCCTCAATGGCCCCCGGAGCACTGCTGTTAGAGGCCCAGAAGGAATATGAGGTAAAGCCCAGGGCCTCTCCCTGAACCCTAAAATGTTTTCCTTCCCCTAATTGGCCCAGCCCCCTGTCTGGGCATGGGAGGGTACAGCTAGGTGCCACCTGTGAAGAGGGGGTCCAGGCAGGACACTAGGCTGGGCTGAAGAAAGCCAGCTCAGGTGGACTAAAGTGACATGGGGCCCTCCATGTGGTAATAGAGAGGGGCAGGGAGGCCCTACTATCCCCAGCCCAGGCACAAGTCAGGGCTACTATCAAGAGGTCGGAGGGCCACCCTAACTGGTTAAGCTCAGTGGCTAGAGTGTTGGCCTGTGGACTGAAGGGTCCCGGGTTCGAATCCGGTCACAGGCACATGCCCAGGTTGCAGGCTTGATCCCCAATAGGGGGCATGCAAGAGGCAGCTGATCTCTCATCATTGATGTTTCCATCTCTCTCCCTTCCTTTCTGAAATCAATAAAGATAAAAATAAAATAAAAGAGGTCTCAGGGCCTCTCACAGGCAATTGTGGGGAATACTGAACACCTTGGTAGACTGAGTGGGCTGAGGTAGCTTGGGCTCTAGCTTCTGCAGCTCATTTGAACCACATTCCAGAGGGACGGGGGGCCAGATGTGGGGGTATTCTCCATCATGATGTTCCATCCCTGGCATTCCCACTTCCCCCAGAAAGAGAGCCAGAAAGCGGATGAGTACCTGCGGGAGATCCAGGAGCTGGGGCAGCTGACCCAGGCCGTGCAGCAGTGCATTGAGGCTGCGGGACATGAGCACCGGCCAGACATGCAGAAGAGTCTGCTCAGGGTTGGCTTGGGCTACAGGACTAGTGGGAGGGGCACTGGGCAGGGATGGGCTGGTGTGAGGGGAGCTTGCTTCTATTGTCCTCTGGTTCTCTCTGAAGGCTGCTTCCTTCGGAAAGTGTTTCCTCGACAGATTTCCACCTGATGGCTTCGTGCGTATGTGTCAGGACCTGCGTGTGCTCAATGCCATTCGAGACTTTCACATCGGGATCCCCCTCACCTATAGCCAGTATCCCCAAGCCTGCTAGAAGGGTGTTCACAGCCAGGGGTGGCGGGGTGGGAGTGGGGTTGCCAGGGATACAGGGGGAAGAGATACTGCCTGAAGGTCTTTAGCAAATAAGCCTTATTTACCAGCTGGATCCTTAACCAGGTAAAATGCAGATACAAGCAGCTCACCATCCAGGTACTGCTAGACAGGTACAGTAAGCCCAAGGATGTGGGAGGAGGGCACTACGTGGATAGGCATTACAGCCCCTGGTGGGCTCTTGTGGCCACTGCTCCTGACCCATTGCTTTGGGATCTGGGAGGCCCAAGGTACAGACTGTGGCCACTGCGCTCACTCTCTACCCTACCTCACCCCATACCCTTACCAGGCTTGTGTTGCGGAGGCTTTACCCCCTGGCCATCCAGATATGCGAATACTTGCGCCTTCCTGAAGTGCAGGGTGTCAGCAGGATCCTGGCCCATTGGGCCTGCTACAAGGTGAGGATATAGCACAGGGTCCAGGAACATTTAGGGACTTCCACACCCTGGTGAGATGTAGGAAATATGAAGTGTAGAGCTGAAGGGCCAGGTTCTGATTGAGGGTAGGTGGGGTGAAGGGTGAGACCCAGGTGTGTGTAACGCCCCCTCCCTCTGTAGGTACAACAGAAGGACGTGTCTGATGAGGATGTTGCTCGGGCCATTAACCAGAAGCTGGGGGACACACCTGGTGTCTCCTACTCCGACATTGCTGCTCGGGCCTATGGCTGTGGCCGCACAGAGCTGGCCATCAAGGTGTGGGTGCCCAGCCCTTTCTAAATGCTCTGACCTGGGTTTCCAAGACCCCCAGGCCAGCTCCTTCTCTCTCTGTCTTCCTCCCCACCCCATAGCTTCTGGAGTATGAGCCTCGCTCTGGGGAGCAGGTACCTCTTCTCCTAAAAATGAAGAGGAGCAAACTGGCACTGAGCAAGGCCATCGAGAGTGGGGACACTGACTTGGGTGAGTAAGGTTTGGGTGAGGCCAAGGCCAGGGCCCCTGGACTGAGCAAGGAACTGCTGGAGCCCCACCCCACCTTATTGTCCCGTAGTGTTCACGGTGTTGCTGCACCTGAAGAACGAGCTGAACCGAGGAGATTTTTTCATGACCCTTCGGAACCAGCCCATGGCCCTGAGCTTGTACCGACAGGTGTGTGCAGTGGGCAGCGGTAGGCCTGGAGCCTCCTGAGCACCTGAGTTATTCTTACTGTCTGATTGCCTGCCCTGGCTCCAGTTCTGTAAGCACCAGGAGCTAGAGACGCTGAAGGACCTTTACAATCAGGACGACAACCACCAGGAGCTGGGCAGCTTCCACATCCGAGCCAGCTACGCTGCAGAGGAGGTCTGAGGCCCACAGAGTGGGTGGGGCCTGTGGGCTGGGCTGTTGGTCTGGTTCCTTCACCAGGTATCTAGGCCTCATATTTGGCACACACCCCATCTGGTCCTCACTGTTAAGGGAGAGTCTGAGAAGACATGAGGCCAGAATGAGGGTTGGTCCCACAGGAACTAGCCTTCCCACTAGGGGCACCAGAGTGGGTCACCCAATGGGTAAGGCTGGTCCTGGTGACCCTTGGCACATGGATCAGGGAGAAAACTGTATCCTGGGTGGGGAGGGCTGAGATCTCTTGAGCTGTGAGCTCAGACTTCCCTTCTTGCCCTCATAGCGTATTGAGGGGCGGGTCGCAGCTCTGCAGACAGCAGCCGATGCCTTCTACAAGGCCAAGAATGAGTTTGCAGCCAAGGTTTGGCCTACTCTTTTCTCCCTTGCCTCTTCTCCTTGTCTTCCCACCTTGCCCCTCTCATCTCCATCCTGCTTTATCCATGTCCCCAGGCCACAGAGGATCAAATGCGGCTCCTACGGCTACAGCGACGCCTAGAAGATGAGCTGGGGGGTCAGTTCCTAGACCTGTCTCTACATGACACAGTCACGACCCTCATCCTTGGTGGCCACAACAAGCGTGCAGAGCAGCTGGCACGTGACTTCCGCATCCCCGACAAGAGGTTGGTGCGGGCTTCAAAAGGTCCTGGGATCCCTGTCCCTCCTACAGCACCTCTAAGCCCAGCTTCCCCACAGGCTCTGTTGGCTGAAGCTGACTGCCCTGGCAGATCTGGAAGACTGGGAGGAACTAGAGAAGTTTTCTAAGAGCAAGAAATCACCCATTGGCTATCTGGTGAGACAGGGGCCCTCCCTCCACCCCTGACAGGGAGGATAGTCCTGGGGAGAGAGGACCGGGCCTAGAGATAGGCTGATGACCTACTGGCACATCTGTTCAACTGATGAAAATAGTGGGTGCTTTCTGTGTACACGTGTTCATGGGCCAGGTACACAGGAGAATGGGCCTGAGTCGGCCTGCAGATGTCCAGGAAAAGTCCAATTTGAGTGGAGGGTGGAGGGAGACAGGGAAAACATATCTGCCAGGCAGTGGAGGCTATTTTGAGGGGCGTTGTTTTCTGTGGCAGGCAGTTCAGAGGTGTAGGTAGGTGGGGCAGCCATGGGAGAAAACACAGGGCCTGAGAGGACAGGAAACACCTGTTGTGGAAGGGTAGCAGCGGCTGGTGGAGTGGGTGTATGGAAATAATTGGTCTCTGGGCTCTAACAGATCTTTGATTTCAGTTGTTTCTGCCCTGAGAATGTGGAGATCACACCTGTTGCAGGCGTGTGTCAGGGCAGGGGTAAGGGGATTACAGACACTGAAGGATATAAAATATACAAGGACAATGTATCCAGTTAGGGTTTTGCTCGTAAGAGATGACAAGGGAGCTCTGCCTTATCTTCTCCCTTTATCCCCTTCCTCTCTAAGCCCTTTGTGGAGATCTGCATGAAGCAACACAACAAATACGAGGCGAAGAAGTACGCCTCCCGAGTGGGTCCTGAGCAGAAGGTCAAGGCCTTGCTTCTTGTTGGGTGCGTCGGCTGAGAGCCCTGTGGGTGCTAGGTGGCTGAGCCAGTGGACTGGTCAGGGGCATGGTTTGTGTCCTTGGTCAGCCCAACACCATCTCCCCTCCTGCTCAAACCATAGGGATGTGGCTCAGGCTGCAGACGTGGCCATCGAGCGCCGGAATGAGGCAGAGCTGAGCCTTGTGTTGTCCCACTGCACTGGAGCCACAGATGGGGCGACAGCCGACAAGATTCAGCGGGCCAGGGCACAAGCCCAGAAGAAGTGAGGGGCCCACCCTGCACGTCTCTTCAGGTCCTGAGCGTGGCAGAAGAGTCACTACTTCAGCTTCTCCCCCGGAGCTAAGCTGAGGAGCTGGGGTAGGAAGGGAACCAGGGGTCTGGTTGTAAATAAAGTTGAACCTTTTAGAGTGCTCTATGCAGTCCCACCTAAGCAACAGCAAGCTAGAGGCAGAACCATACAGACACCTCAGCAAAACTCCATGGTTGTGGTGGGTCTGGAGAAGGAGCTACATTTATAAGACACCTGCCCCTTTGTACAGTTACCAAGGAAAGCTCTCTCAAGCTCCTAGCCCCCAGAAAGATTATGGGAAGGAATGACACAAAACTTAAGCAACAGTTCGTCCAGAACCATACTGAGAAGCATTGTACACACACATATACAAGAAGGATGCTAAACACTTGACCATTATTTTATTTATTCCACATGCCAGCCCTGTGAGATAGGCAACATAACCCCATTTTACAGAAGAGGAATTTTAGGTCCAGGGAGGTTTGGTAACAGCAAATATGTGGCAAAATGGATTTGAAACCATGTTAGACATTTGGGCGTCTTAGAGCTTCTCCTTAGATGTTTGTGGTAACAGGAGGGATGACTCAGAGCTGGAACTAAAATTGGGCCCTTTGTAAGCAGGGGACCCTGATCAAGGCCCCGGTTTGCACTGGTTTGCACTGCAGTGCGAATTGGAGGACTAATGAGAGGCATGTGGCCAGCAGATTGTAGAGATTGGAGGAGGAGTCTTTGGAGACCCAACCACTGTTTGTAAACAGTGGTGATAATTCCTGAGTGGTTTCTGAGCTGGAGAGAAAAGGATGGAATTCTTTGGGCATTTCTACCAAGACCTGCAAACAAGACACTGGCTTCACTCTACCTGGGAAGGAGGTTTCGTCCGCAGTCAGCAGGAGCGCCTTCTTGGCCCTCTAGTGACCCTCTCTCTAGCCTTCAGTTTGTAATCCAGTGCACCTTGGCTTCATGTCCCAGTGCCTCAACCCCACACTGAGGACATGACTTTTTCCTCTTGTTACCCCCTCAGTCTAGAAGACAAAGGAGGAAACCAGAGTCCAGAGGAGGGCAAGCCTCATCACAGAGTGAGAGGCCCAGTAAGGTCTTTCTTTTTCTTCCCCCACCTGATTTGTAAATGTAAATTTGTGAGAATCCTCCCAGGAAATATAAATCAAATTGTAAAGCAACCATTTATTATGCTTACTACTTACTCGAGGGTCAGGAATTTGGACAGGTAAAACAGGGACGCTTTGTCTGCTACAGCGTCTGGGGCAACTGCTGGAAGACAAAGGTTGAAGGTGACTTGATAGTTGAAGGCTGAAATCACCTGAAGTCTTGGTAATAGTCTGGCAGTGGAAGCCTCTTGTTGGCTGGAACCTTAGCTGGGGCTGTTGGTCAGAACACATACAACCTGCAGTACCTACCAACATGACAGCGTCCCAAGAGGGTCAGGCAGAGCTGTGTTGCCTTCCCAAACCGAGCTTTGGGAGTCACACCTGCCACATTCTGTTTCTTGAGGCAGTCACATAGGCACACCCCACCCAATTTCAAAGGGAAATCAAGCCTGGCCAGCGCGGTTCAGTTGTTGAATGTCAACCTATGAACCAGGAAGTCGGTTTGATTCCTGGTCAGGGCACATGTCGGTTGCAAATCAATCCCCAGTGGGGGACGTGCAGGAGGCAGCCGATCAATGATTCTCATCATTGATGTTTCTATTTCTCCCTCTCCCTTCTCTAAAATCAATAAAAATATTTTTTTAAATTAAAATAAAGGGGGTGGGAGATCAACTCCACTTCTTGATAGGGGAGTTGCAAGAATCTGGAAGAGAGTGCAGAACTGGGAATGTGGCCAGTTTTTGGAATCACAATCTGGCACAGTCTATCAGATTTCTCTCAGAATCAGCAGACACCTCCAGGGAAAGGAAAGAAGATCTCTAATACTAGGCTCATTCTGGGCTTGTTTCCCCTCCAGTCTTGGCCCCACAATTCTTCACTTCCCTGGTAGCTTTTCAATGCCTTTTAAAAATGTTCTCTCCAGCTTTTTTAGTTATTTTCAATGAAAAGGAGTTGGAACCATATAACTCAGTCCACCTTCTGAACAGGGTGCCCTAGGCATTGCTTTTAGAATGTACACAATAAAAAGTCTGGCCGAAACCGGTTTGGCTCAGTGGATAGAGCGTTGGCCTGTGGACTGAAAGGTCCCAGGTTCGATTCCGGTCAAGGGCATGAACCTGGGTTGCGGGCACATCCCCAGTAAGAGAAGTGCAGGAGGCAGCTGATCGATGTTTCTCTCTCATCAATGTTTCTAACTATCTCCCTCTCTGTAAAAAATCAATAAAAAAATATATATATATATAATGTCTGTATCCCAAAGGAACATATAGCATATTTACTCCTGTCATATGCTAACATTAAACATTGAACACGTGAAGTTTTAGAAATGTGAGAAATAACAATGAGGACATACAAACTAATTACAACTTCATTAAAAAAGTTAATGCATTTAGAGAAGTACTCTAGATGTTCATGAGGTTGAAAATTAAAGGCAACCATGTGTACTTTTTTTGTAAAATTAAACACTAATTTCCCCCTCTCCAACATTATATCATGAAAACCTTCAAATACACACTAAATTGAAAGAATTTTACAGTGAATACCTGTACCACCTGGAGTCTATCACTGACATTTTAATATATTTATCACACATCTTTCCATCCCTATATCCTCTTACTACTATCTTATTTTTTAAATTTGATGTGTTTTTATTGACTCCAGAGAGGATGGGAGAGGGGGAGATAGAAACATCAATGATGAGAGAGAATCATTGGTTGGCTGTCTCCTGCAGCCCCCAGGCATGTGCCCGGACTGGGAATCAAACCATGACCTCCTGGTTCAAGGGTTGACATTCAACCACTGAGATACAAGGGCCGGGCAATCTGTCATTGTTAATGCATTCCAAAGTAAGTTGCAGTCATTTGTACACCTACCTCTAAATATTTCAGAATGCATTTCACTAGCTAGAGTTCATTTGTAATTTGTGTTTTTTTCTCAATCCTATATAATAAAGAGTTAATATGCAAATGGTCCTCATGCCCTTGAGCCAGAACTGCTCAGACACTCAACACTGGAGAGAGGAATGGGGACCAGCCAGGCACAAATGAGCTCATGAGAGAGGAATGGGACCAGCCAGGCTGCAGCCCTGGAGAGGGACAAGCTGTCTGCCCTGCAGTCCTGGGTGCCAGTGCCTGTGGCTGCAGCCTGGGCGAACTACCCGCCCACAGTCCCCTGTGGCTGCAGCCGGCCGGGTCCTGGGTGCCTGCGGCCAGCCAGAGGGAGGGAAGCCCCGGTCCTGGGTACCTGCGACTGGCCGGAGGAGGGAATCCTGGGTCCCAGATGCAGGGCAAAGCAGAGGCGGTTAGAAGCAATCAGGCCAGCAGGGGTGCAGTTAGGGATGACCAGGCTGGTAGGGGAGCAGTTAGGGGCGATCAGGTAGGCAGGCAGAGGTGGTTAGGGGTGATCAGGCAGAAGGGTTAGGGGCGATCAGGCAGGCAGGCAAGCAGTTAGGAGCCAGTGGTCCTGGATTGTGAGAGGCAGTCAGACATCCCCCAAGGGGTCCCAGATTGGAGAGGGTGCAGGCTGGGCTGAGGTACACCACTACCACCCCTGTGCACAGATTTCATGCACTGGGCCTCTAGTCTATATATAGAATGTTCAGATCTTAAGTATACATTTGCTGAGTTTTGACAAATGCACATATATACCTATAGTGACATCTTAAAAACAACCAAGATTTTTTTTCTCTTCAAATCCTCCACTGATCAATTTATAAATTTGTGTAAAATGCCTTCTACCACCCTAGCCGGTTTGGCTCAGTAAATAGAGTGTCAGCCTGTGGGTCGGAGAGCCCCAAGTTCGATTCCAGTCAGTGGCGCATGCCTGGGTTGGGCGCTTGGTCCAACATGCAGGAGGCAGCCAATCAATGATTCCCTCTCATCATTAATGTTTCTATCTCTTCCTCTCTGAAATAAATAAAAATATTTTTTAAAAAACAAAAAACCTTCTACCCTGAGAAATTTGCATGGCAGGCCTGGGTGAACAGTCTGGGTGGGGCCAACTCTTAGCCAATGGATAGGACTAGCATTGGGCCTGGGACCAGGATTTCAGAGCTAGGGGCAGAGAATTTGGAAACATTTCTTCTAGTTTAGGATATTAATGGCAACCCTGGAGTGAGAATCAGAGCAAAGACTCCTACCGGGCACCTTCTCAGGAGAGGGGGCTGCACTCTGTTAGGTCCAGTGCTGGCAAGTGACCCTTGGGAATAGAACAGTGCCTGGAAAGGCACCGGGCTCTCACTTACTTCAACCTTCTATCGTATTGCCTTGCTTTGTTGTCATTACAGCATTTAAACAGTTTTCTTATTAACTTGTTCATTGTCTGTCACCCCATCCAGAACGGTTCATGAGAGCAGAGACCTTTTCTGTCTCATTCCCTGCTGTGTCCAGCACATAGTCTGCACTCAATAAGTATTTGTGAGTAAATGACGCATTGTTCCATTTACTACATGGGGCAAGGAGGCTCTGAGAGAGGAAGTGGCTTGTCTGCAGAAACAGTTCTTTACCCCAGCTGTCGCCAACCTTTCGGACCTCACGGACCAGCAGTGGTCCACAGACCACCGCTTGGTGACCACTGCTTTACCCCATCCTCCAGCTCTCCTAGTGTAGTTTTTTTCTGATGACCCCTGAGACTCTTGGGGCACTTATCTGTAGGTATATGCTCCCGTGTGGTAAGACAAGCAGGACTGGGAGAAAGGGTTTGGCCTCCCACTTGGTCGGGCTTGGTACAGGAAGCCTGTCTCCCCTCCTTATCTCAGGTCTAATCTCCTCTTTGAAGACAGCCCTTTGTCCTGTGGTGATGGGGGGGGAAGCTGTGTACACCCCAGTGTCAGATAGGATGGGGAGGCTGGGCTGGTCTCCACAGGTGGGCAGCTGAGGACGGGACTCTGTCCTCTTCCACTGGAAACAGGGTATGTGTGGCTGCCAAGCTGAACTCTCCTCCAGGTCTCTGGAATGAGCTACCCAAGACCCTGTCTCTTTTTGGTCTGAGGTTCTGTCACCCCTGCACACACACCACAAATGGTCTGACCACAGTGCAGCTGTCTCATGGAGAGAAAGAACTGCATTTACTGAGACAGGGTTACTTGCCAAACTGTACATGCCTGCAATTCTCAGTACAGTCCTGGGAGGTTCCAGGAAGAACAGCAGAAGGAGATTCAGGTCATCTAGCCAATGCAGAGGCTTAAACCCCAGGGTTCTCTCCCACACCCAGTTGAAGCATTTTCCCAAGTGTGCTCAGTCAGGCTGGGGATCCTTCTTTAAAGGATCTTAAAGAAACAAAACTAACTACTTCGCCCTAGCCTTTTTGGATAGTGTCAGTCCATGGACTGAAGGGTTTAGGGTTCGATTCAGTCAAGGGCATGCACCTTGGTTTTAGGCTTGACACAACCAATTGATGTGTCTCTTTCTCTGCCTCTGTCCCTTCCACTCTCTAAAAATCAATAGAAAAATATCCTTGGGAGAGGATTAACAAACAAAAAAAGCTATTTTATTGTAGGAAAATATAAATAGCATGTCAAAAATTTTATGGTAATGTAAGTAAAATTATAAATGAACCAAAAGAAATGTATTAAAGAAATATTAGTGTAGCTCAGATGTAGCTGAAGTAAAACCACAGTGGTCAGGTGTGTCCTGAGGTGCTGCTATTCTAGTTACCCAGGTGCTTCCTACATTCACAGTCATTGTTTTTCAGGAGTTCTAAACACTCTGAATGCAGACTTTTCACGTCCATTAGTGTGCAGATACTGCGGTCGGACTTCCTGGGAAACATGAACAGTGGGAACCTGCCCTCTTGGGCTTGTGGCCTGGGGGCCTTAGAGCTGAAGATCCATTAGTGTGCAGATACTGAGGTCGGACTTCCTGGGAAACATGAACAGTGGGCATATGAAAGAACCTGCCCTCTTTGGGTCTAACAGGAGATTGGGCTTGTGGCCTGGGGGCCTTAGAGCTGAAGTGTCTGTCCCACAGGGGTGCCTTGGGTTTGGCCATCCCACACTACTTCTGGGCAAGCGCTGCCAAGAGGGAGTGAGAAAAACATCTCCCACTCCAGAAGGGACTTTTCTACTGGGGAG